GCAGTCTTTAACTTTGTATGATCATGTTCTTTTATCGCCACTAAAGAAAGCTGTAAAATATTAGAAACATATACTGAAAAATGTCACTGAGCATTCAATAGTGTGCTTACTGATCAATGAAATCCACGGAAACTCCAAAGGCCTTTGCCATTGCTTCCACTGTCACACTCTTGTAAGATTCCAAAAACTGAGAGTAAACCACTGTTCTGACTTCCCTCATGTAGAATCGGAAATGCGGGTACAAGTAGCGGTCAAACTTTATCTGCTCTGCCATTCCAGCTGAGAACATACCCCAATAAAGAAGCTATTAACACACAAAGAAAACAGCAAGCAACATGACATCAGGCCCTTGTATTAAACTCACCAAATGCAGAGAAAAACGCCTTGTACTGGCACTCATACAAGGAGTTCAGAAACTCAGAAAGGAATGGAATCTTCCCAAGCACGGTTAAGATCTCAGGTGCATCAACGACCTGCCGAAGAGGAAGACTGTTTCACCATTTTCTCAACAAATAACAAGACTCCCAGCATTTTAAACTGAAATGTTATGCCTAACTAAATTTGGAAAACTCAAAGTATAGGACTGAGCCATTGACAATATACCTTTTGCTTAAGCAAAACTCTGTCCAAAGTTATGATGCTTGTCAAGACGGTGTAAAATATGAAGGTCTCATATGGAAAAATTTCATATGTCGTGAAGGTTGATATAGAATCCAGAAATAAGCTGGCAGCCTTCTTAAAGTTTCTAGTGGACATGCAGTACAGACCTTCATAGACCTTTAGACGGTTCTTCCTTTCCCAGTCACCACCTTCTTCAAACAATCTGGCATGGGAAAATGGAAGGGTTAAGAACAAAGATTTTTTTTTCAGTAGCACTATCGAAAAAAACAAACGGACACTTACTTTTTTGCTTTTTCAATGCTCTTGGATACCAAATCGAAGTCCATGTAGAAAAAAGCAAGTTGCAATGTATAGAATACCAAGTCCATTTTTTGCCCGACAGCAACAGTTTTTCCTTCAGTGAGTTTTAGTTGCTCCAGAGCTTTCTCCTAGTTTCCACAAAGGCAAAAATTTCAGGGCCAAAGAAGTGCATACATAATTATTAACTTTTAACACGCTAATATACCTTATCACTGATCCTGATGAAATACAGAGCCTTAGCAAGATGAGCTTCACGGACTTCACTTTCACCCAAATTCTCTTCTGCATCTGCGATCCTAAAGAAAAGAGAAGGAAAGGAATATGTAAGAG